TTTCCCGTCCCGGAGCCCCCCACCTTGGCTGCTGATGAGGCCTTGAAGCTGCTTCCCCTGCCACCCACCCGTCCGTCGCACGTGAGCCTTAGTCACCACCAGCAGCCGCCCCCCCGCTCCCAGGAGCGAGAGCTCCACCGCCACACATCCCACCCTGCCCCGATAACAGGCAGATAACGAGAGGCCTCCCCCGCTCCCCGGACAGGAGCAGAGGTCTCGGCTCAGCCCCACTCAGGGGTGAAACTCCTCTTGGCCTTGCAAGAAGCAGGGGTGGGCCAGGAGCACAGTCCCAGTCCATGCCCCACACAGCAGCACGGGTGCCTGCCCACTCTGGCAGCACGTCCAAGGGCAGGGGACACGCGAGCAGCAGCAGCAGCTCGGGAGAAGCACTGCTTAGAGCTTTGCAGGGCCAGCAGGAGCCAGGGACGCGTCCCCGTTCTTTGTGCAGCCAGCCTGGCCCAAGGACCCCCCGGAGCGCCTGTCTCTGGGTTCACGGGGACGTGCTGATGAATAGATACAGTTTTCTGCAAGCAGCGCCCATCAAAGATGCCTATTTTGGGGATGACATCACCACAGGGCCAGGAGATGCCCTGCCACCCGTCCTCCCTCGCCTACCAGGCAAACAGGTTTCCCGAAATCCCAGCCCTCTCCTCCGGAAGCGCGCTCCTCTGACTCAGGGGACAGGGAGAGGGCAGGAGGGCTCCCCAGCAGACGGGGTGGCCCCGCTCTGTGCCACTGCAGCCATGGCTGTATGCCCCAAACCACCCCAAATGCCCCAGAGCCCCGGACTGGAGCCGAGTTGTCGCCTTCCCGCAGCTCCCGGCCCCACCGCCCACCGGCTGCTCACCCGGCTCAGCCAGCGCAGAGGCATCCCCGAAACTCCTGGCAGCCTCACCCGCCGGCTGACTCCCTGCCGGGGAATGCTGCACGGCCGAGCCGCGGCTCTAGGAGCTGCGCAGCCCCAGGGGGATGGCGGGGGACAGGAGTGCAAGTGGCGCAGGAGCGTGTCCTGGTGAACCCACAAACACAAGGGACACCCCGGGGCAGGGAGAGGAACAGCCCTGCTCGCACGCCTGCGTGGCCCAGACTCTGAGGGGGCTGTGGCAGCCCCATGGCCCCTCATTTCCATGGCACACAAGGGACCTGGCAGAGCAGGGCTGGGGCCGCCCCATGACCTGTGGCTTCCAAAGCCCCTTTGCCTGGCGGGGCCATGGCCCTGTGGGTCCTGGTGGGGTGAGCACAGCATCGCCCACAGCGGACAAGCATCCCAGGGCTCCGGGACAGCCTGGCACCGGGTCCAGCCGTACGCAGGGTCCTTCTCCCCACCACAGGGCCGGCCTGGAGTAGGGGGCACAGTGCAGAAGGGGCAACCGTGGGTGTACAGGGCCTGTGGTCCTGCTCCGGCAGCGCTCCCAGTGCAGGCAACGATGCAGAGGGCTCCTGGCTGCCGTGCCAGCCTGAGTCGATGGGCTTATACAACAAGCAGAGCATCGATTGATCGCTCCGCTGCAGGCAGAGCCCCGCTGCGTCGGGGTTGCTGGGTTCAGCCCCCCCGTTCCCACGGTGCTGGGAACAGCCGCCCTCCCCGCGCTGATGGAAAATCCGATGAGCTCATGACGAGCATGCCGCTCGGCGCCAGCAGCTGCACGCCCCAGAGCTCCCCGTGCTCCTCAGCCCATCGGCGCAGGGTGCAACGCTGCCACGGCTCCCTCGGGCTGGCATGGGGAAGGGACTGCACCCAGTGGGCTGGGGGTGGGCCACGGCTCTAACCCCCGCAGCGTGCCCAGCACCTCGCCCTGACACTGCCTGCAGGGAGCCAACGGGGGGCCGAGCACCCCAGAACCGAAGGACAATTACAGCTCAGCTTGGCCGCTGCCCGGCCAGCGCGAGCTGAAGCTGCGGGGGGCTGGGTGCAAACGGGGATGGGGATGGCAAACAAACCCCACCGACATCTCTGGACAAAGTACCGTGGGGGACACCCCCTCCCACCCCCTCCCCACCCCTCTGCCCCACACCTCCCTCCTCTGGCCTCGGGCCTTTGCCCCCGTCCCAGGCTGCTCCCACCCTGCTGCTCTGTGCAGGGCGGTTTTGGGGCCCACGCAGGGCAGTGGTACCGTGGCCACGAGGGCTGGTGTGAACCCCTGCCCCCAAAACGCTCCAGCTGACCCCCACTAGCTACGGGACAGGGACCCAGCAGGAACCTGAGGGTAAGGTTCTATCCCCGCATCCTGTCCCGGACCGATGGGTGCAGCACCAGCCCATCCCCAGCAGTGTGCCGGGGCAGCCACCAGCCCCCGAGCATCTTGCCACGGGGCTGGCATCGCCGGTGGCCGGAAAGCCCCACTGCTGGAGGACAGGTGACAAATGGGCCAGTGATGGGCTGAGCCCTGCCCTGGCTTGCCGCAGCCCTCACTTGCTCTGTAATTATCCCAGGGCACATCTGTAATTAGTGCCCTGATGTCATGGTGTCAGGCCTGGGCAGCCCCACGCGCTCCCCACCAGCCCCACCTTGGCCTCTGGCCCCGGGGCTGAAGGAGATCCCGGCCCTCCAACGCCGTCCCGAGGAGCCTGGCTCCGGCCCCCCACGCTCCCCGCCAGCATCGCTGCTGGACCCCCGTCCCATCCCTGCCCCACAGCACCCCAC